ATCAAACCTTCACAGATCGTGGAATCCAAGCACATATTCGAGTTCGTGAGGCTTGTAGGAGTCCAACCATACCATTTTCAGGTAAGAACACCTTCGTTTTCACGTCGAATCCACGATGCCCGATTTCGGGTACTGTTCATGCACACGTGATTTCTCACGTTTTAGGGAATTTCAAGCTTGTAGGTAGCTTGGTGAGGTCCCTAGGAGGCTCGGGGTGGTTCGTTTGAAGGTTTTGGACGTCGGGATCACGAGTTTCGAGGTTGGCCGGAATTGGGGTGATTTTGCAGGTGAGATTTCGTGGTTTTTAGCACTTGAAAGTGATATGAATGTGTTCCTCTAGTTCTAAGCTTCATTTTGGTACCAATTTTGTGAAATTTGGTTGAAAAACGAAGAAGATATCGAAGTTTGAAAATTTCCCAGTTTTCCGGCGCCGGCGACGGTGCCGGAGGCTCGCCGGAGAAGACGACGGAATATTCCGTCAAGTCTGACGGAATATTCCTGACGCCGTTAACGGAATCCGTTAGGAATAACGGAATATTCCTAACGGCGTCAACTGACGCCGTCAGCGTGCCAGGCACGTGCCTGCGCGTGGCCGGCGCGTGGGGGCGGGTGCGACGGTGAAAAATTATTTTAAAAATATGGGGATGTTCCTGAGGTTGAGTAGGTCACGTTGGTATATTCATATACCCCATTTGAGCATTGTATGAGAAGTTATTTCTAAAGGTTGGTTATGTGCTTTTAAAATTGACATTTTTGTAGTTGTTTCGCATATAGGTGATATCTATCCCGAGGACGAGTGTGGTCACTCGAGGCAGGGGGGCTACGACCCTTCCACATACCAGTGAGTGGGCTTTTGGTTTTCCGTATATATCTATATACACATATTTTCCCAGAAATTGATTGAAATATTAATTAGTTTATATGCCATGCATTTTATATTGCCGTTGACTATGATTGGTTAGTCGCATTTATATGTGTATGCATTGGTGCTGTAGACGCACAGGTAAGTGTCAGGTAAGTGTTATGCATGTTTACATTCAGTAGTGATTCAAGATGCTTAGAGAGCTCATAACCTGCACCCCCGGTGTTAGTGTTCCCGCCCAGAGTAGGGCACAGTCCTTCACGTGATGTTCACCTCCCGCACCACACGCTCAGCTTGGATCCAAGTTAGGTGCACAATCCTGTCATACAGACCACTATAGGTGGTTCCGACTCGTAGGTGACCCGCAATTATTCGCCCAGCATTCACGTGATCGTAGCACTAGAGCGTATATATGTATTACACCCAGGCCTGTCGTACAGACCACTTTAGGTGGTTCCGACTCGTGTGCAGGTCCAGTTATTGAGATTGAGATTTGAGCTCTAGATGCAGCCGTACAGGTCACTTTAGGTGACTCCGGCTGCCAGATTATACGTTATTGATATGATTTACATCTGAGCACTTGCATTTCATTATGAGGTTTTGGCATGGCATATTCTTGAGCATGATTGGTATATATATTATACGTATATCTATTTTCTGGGAAGTATACAGGTTTTACGGCGAGGGGTTAGAACGTATTTGTTAAATGGTTTTCGAAAAGCTTTGTTTTTGCCCACTCACGCTTTTGTTTTGCGCCCCTTCAGGTTCTAGTTGAGTAGCAGGTTCGGTGGTTTCCCAGAGGGCTTCCCGGCATTTCTGACAGATATTCACCAGCGTAGGGCCACCTTCGGATGCACTGTTGTCGTATCATTTTTATTTGGACTGCTTTAGGCTTATGCTCTGGACTAGGAGTCGCACTTAGTATTACTTATTGTAAAATCAGTTTTTATTTATTCGTATCACTATTTCCACTATTATTTTATTAGCTTCCGCACTGTGCACATGACTTCGTCACTTCCACGTGACGGCCAGCACGCCCTGGTCTCGATCGGGGTGTGTCATTATTGACATAATTTTTCATTAAGATAAATTATATTTAAATAAAACCTATGATTTGTCAATACTTATATTAATGACATTTTACTTATAAAAAATTGGCAATTTTTATACGGTACATTTTACATACAAAAATTTGGTACATTTTATACAAAAAAAGGTGGTACGTTTTATTTTATATAAAAAATAATGGGAACATTTTATACTAAAAAAATGGGTACATTTTAGATTTAAAAAATAAATAGGTCTTACATTAAAAGATGGGTATATTTTACATAAAAAATGGTACTTAAAAAAAAATTGGTACATTTTACACATAACAACGTGGTACATTTTTAAAGACAAATGTACCCATTATTAATAAATTATTAGTGCAAATAAAAGGTCAAAAAAAATGAGTACGAATAAAAGTTTGAAAAATATGGACCAAAAAAAACAAATAGATGTGTACAAACTAAACTTTGGTACAATTAAAAAAATGGGTTGCAAATTAAAACGGGTACAAACTAAAAAATATATATATATATATATATATGATACAAATTTATATATGTATATATATCAAATGTAATGTTTCTAACACTAAACGAATATATTTAGGAATAAAATTTAATTATCTTGACATGTAAAATATTTTATTTATTGAAATAACTATTGATGTTTATTAAAACTAAGGGACCTTGATAAAAAAAATTGAAAAGGAATAAGGTTTCAGCAGGTCTAGGCACCATTTCTTAATTTTTCAAACTCCTAAGCATTAATCAGGTTGGTGATCAGCCGCCTAGCGCCTAGTCAGGGCCTAGACGGCTCTAGCGGAGATTTTTAGAACAGTAAAAAGAATAAAAGAAATCACATAAATGTCCAAAAAGTCGTAAAAAAAAAAAGAATAAAAGAATATAAATAAAAGAAGGCACAAGACAAGAAGAGAAAAATTGTAACACCCCACATCGCCCAGGGGAGTAGATCATGTAAGCTTTATATGTATATTTCCATCTTTACCTAGCATGAGGCCTTTTAGCTCACTGGCTTCGAGTTCCGTAGGAACTCCGAAGTTAAGCGTGTTTATGTGAGAGCAATTCCATGATGGGTGACCTACTGGAAAGTTCTCGTGTGAGTTCCTAGAAACAAAATCGTGAGGGCGTGGTCGGGGCCCAAAGTAGACAATATTGTGCTACGGTGGAGTTAAGTCCGGAATGTTGTGGGGGCCCGGGCCGGGATGTGACAATTTGGTATCAGAGCTAATCCCTGGCCGGATGTGTGCCGATGAGGACGTCGGGGCCCTAAGGGGGTGGATTGTAACATCCCACTCCTGTAAGCCTTATATGTATATTCTCATCTTTACCAAGTACGAGGCTTTTTGGAAGCTCACTGGCTTCAGATTCCGTAGGAACTCTGAAGTTAAGCGAGTTCGCACGAGAGCAATCTCATGATGGGTGACCCACTGGGAAGTTCTCATGTGAGTTCACAGAAACAAAACCGTGAGGGCTTGGTCGGGGTCCAAAACGGACAATATTGTGCTACGGTGGAGTCGAGCACGGGATGTGGTGGGGGCCCAGGCTGGGATGTGGCAAAAATAAAGAAAGAAAATGTAAAGGGAAATTTTATTTAAACTCATGTAACCTATTTCTACACCCAACTTACTCTTTACACCCATTTGATTTTTAACTAAACTATTAATATCTCTTTAAACCCTAATTTACTACCTAATATACCCCCATAAACCCAATTCAATATGTGGATTTATTTGTACACCCATTTGATTTTTAACTCTGTCTTTACGCCGTCTGGAAATGGACACTGAGAATTGGAGTGTGAATTTAGCCATGGCTAACAACAAGACTGACACTTCTATAGATGTTGACAAAAAACATGTATCACCGTCTCTCTCTATGTGGTCTCTGTTTCATGAGCATATGTCTGCTACCATACCTTTTCATAGGAATCTTTCTATAGGCTTCATGGAGAGCATGGAGCACTAGTAATCAAATTGGGTTTGTTTGAAAACATTACCGTTTTGTGATAGCTTATGTATAGCGGCGAGGAAGGGAGAGATAAGAACAGTTGTAAGGCTGCTTGAGACAGGTGTGACAATCAATGGAAGAGACCTACATGGGTGGACTGCTCTCCATAGAGCCTGTTTCAAAGGGAAGATAGAAAGTCATTCGAACGCTACTTGAAAAGGGATGTGGATATGGATGCTAAAGATGAGGATGGACACACCACGTTGCACTGTGCAGCGGAGTCGGGACATGCTGATGTGATTGAGACATTGGTAAATAAAGGAGCTGATGCTGAAGCTCGAAATAACAAAGGTGAGACTGCACTGCAGATTGCTGAGTCTTTGCACTATGTTGGGATTACTAGGATACTTATTCATAGAGGTGCAACAAAAGACAATAATAATATGACAGAGAAGAAAAATAAAAATAAAATATAAAAACAGAAGAAGCAAACAGAATCCAAGGTCCTTGCAATATCTGCAAGTCTTTTTTATTTTTTGGTGTGGAGATGAATAGTGGGAGAGCGATTGCAGCAATTTGCTGTTGCAAAAAGATAAACAAATTATGCGGGATTGATTGAAAAAAATAATTAAAACTAAAATACTCATTTTCTAAACTTAAAAAAATTGAAATCAAACGAACAAAAAAATTTATAAATTGAGTCATACCTTAGTTGGAGGATTCAAAATCATCATCCATAACTTTTTTTTCTTTATGAGAGCTATTAGGGTTTTAGCCGGAATGAACGTAAGATAAACAAAGAGTGATCGTAAAGTTTAATAATAGTGTTTGAGTTTATTGATAAATTTGAATTTTATTATTAATTTCATTTTGTACTTAATAGTAATTATGCAATAGGGTAAAATAAAAAATTAACATTTAAAATTTAAATTGAATGTAAAAAGAGGTGACATGGATTTAAATAAAATTTCTCAAATGAAAAATGTAACATTTTCTTTCTTTTATTTGGCCATAAATTAAATATTTCTCTTCGAAACAACGCAACCGAAAGTAATTTTCTTTCTTTAATCTGTGAAGTCATTTTCTTTTTATTTTTCTTTTTTATTTTTCGTTTTTATTTTTCCTCAATACATTTCAAAACAAAAAAGAGAGAATCAGAAACACAGAAAGGTATTGGAGAAATGAAGAAAGCAGGAGGGGCAGAGAAGAAAAGGGTGCGAAGGTCATCGGGCGCTATTCAAAACGGCGGCAGAGATTCCAGCTCCGATACCCCTCCTAGGGTTTGTTCTTTCTCTGATCCCTGATCTAGGGTTTCTCATATATGAAATTGGGCATTTCAATTTTGATTTTTGTGTATTTCTAGGAAATGAAAAATTGAAATTGCCAATTTGATTTGTAATACCCGCAGTTATGTAGTTTGAAAAGCACTGCTGTTTTTTATTTATTTATAATTAATTTTTATTGCTCTGTTGGGTTGCTGAAATGGGTAGGAGAGGGAAGGAACTAGTTGAAAGTTTCAATACAATGTGTTTAGTTATTTAGAAAATGAGGAATTATAAATAAGGATTATAAGGGCATAAGTTGGGATAATGAATGATTTATCCATTTGAAGAAAATCGTCACTGGTGCGGGTTTTGCTTTAATAATATTGAATTTCCTTCAGGGTTGCAAGGATATGCCATGGAAAGCTGGATCATTTTGTTGTTTATGGTAGAGCTTTTGAAATGAGAGCAATTCGGTATTTCTGCTTTTTCTTTTTGGGCATCTTTAGTGTGCTGGAGTGGTGGGGATTTTGTTACTAGCAACCTTGTTTAGCCTAAACAATAGACAGAAAATCTTTGGACCAAAAGTAAGCAGAATGCGGTAAAGCAAATGAGGCCGCTGCAAATGGATAAGAAGATGTTCAATGATCACATCATTTTTCTGGCATGATCAAATTAGAATTGTTTTACCTATGTTGTGTGTGCAATGGAATGAAATTGCAGATGGGGTACTAATTCCAGGACTGCTGTAAAGGATAGATGAAGAAAAACAAAATCTTGAAAGTAAAACAATTTGAAATAGTTTTTGGTTTTTAGTTTTCTTTTTGTGTAACATTCCTTGTACATTTCTTCTACATCTCGCCCACCATCCTTCCTCCACTCTTCTTCGTCTCTCACCATATACTTTCCCTATATTTTAAGCATGAAAAAGCAAAAAATGAGAACCAAAACATAATGGTTATCAAACGGGCCGTAAGCAATTCACAGTGAACCTCCATTTGCAATTAATATCTCGTGATTCTATCCTTGTTTTTCTATCCAAACTGAAATTTTGATATGTGAACTTTGAGTTCTATCATTGAATTGCATTGTAAGTGGAGGATAACAAATTTTTTTTGACATTAGGATTCCTTATATTATTTTTTTTCCAGATGCTGTAAATACTGGACTGATAAAATTGAATTCCTTCAATGATAACTTTTTGTTTCTATTATGTTCTGTTATGTTCCTTTGGCTGAACATGCAAAATATTGTACATAGATTCGCAGATAACGAAAGTTTAGACAATATATTGATATTTACTCTTTAAGGAAAAAAAAAAAAAAATATAGTACCACGTGATGCATAATGTGTCATTGATGCTGTTATGCATATCGTAAGTTTTCTTGCATGCATCTAGTCTTCTGGATGGCATACAAAATTCAGTTTATGAGGTCACAGAGCCTCATATCAATTCCAGAACAAATGGTGTTGCTCAGATAGTGAGATTTTGGAATATTCTGCATTGTAGAATTAAATGGTGTTACTTATATATCTACTAAAAATGCATTTTAATTTGTTAGTGTGCATGAGTGCTTATAATGCCTCCTCTCCAACACTTATTATCTCAACCTTAGATAGTTATTAATTAGTGGTGGAAAAGTTATTGTTTTCTTTTGGATATAGATTCTCGGCATGATGCTTATCTTTGCCCAATTATGTTTTGGATTTCAAGGCAAGATAGTATTGGCCAACTGGTTTCCATAGCCTGCTGAGATTTGCCTTGTTTGCTGATTACCACATGATTTTATTTCAGAAACAAGCTACCCAGAAAGATGTGTTCCAGTTGTTTGCTGAGAAGGTGAGAGACAATAAGGATTTGGTGTCTAGGTGGGCTGTTCTACAGGAGACACGCGTGGAATATTTCAGGGGAAAGGATTTTGTAAGCTTTTTGAGAAATCATCCTGAGGTCAAAGATATTCTAGAATCAGATAGAAATCTAGAAGCTGAAGATATTGCTGATGCTTTACTGAGAAAGAATCTTCTAGTACGCTGTGATCGTGTGGTGAAAACTCTTCGTCCTGGGAAGAGAAAGTTGTCTACATGGCCTGCACATTTGGAGATCTTTCCAGTAAGCTAACCTCTTAATTGTTTTTGAACAAGTAGCTTGCTGCCCTTGCAATTAGCATGCTCTGCCTACTAGTTTTTCTTTTCATTTTAGTATAATACTTTAGATTAAGGAATATATTCTTGGGGACCAGTTAAAGTGACTAAATCTGTCCTTGCTGTTTCAGAATCTCTTCATTGTGTATGTGCTCATACTCTTTATGTCTATGTGCTAAATCTGGCCTTTCGGTCTTGGTCTCGGTTTTTTACTTTTTCAGTCAACTTGGTTTTTTTTTTCTTCGGTTGTTTCTTCATCAGTTTGGTCTGGTTCCTCGGTTTTATGCCCACCCCTATTCATACTATGCTATTTATGCTTACTTTGTACTTGTGGACATTTGGTGACATTGTTGTACCCTTTTTACTTTCTCCTTAGATTGCTATGTTTTGATTTTATATTTGTAAAAGTTTGAAACTATGGAGGAAGTGGGTGAAGTTACTTGATGGTACCATCCATAGTGTGTTGAACTTCCCCTTTTTAGCAGGTTTACTAATATTTCAATCCTGTCTTTCTGTGAGCTGTCCTCTCTTCATTTATTTTCTAAGCACCACGCATCACCTTTGGTAATTTTTTTACTTCATTTGCAGGACCAAGTATTTTCTGAGAACGACGCCTTCTTTGCATGGACTTTTGTTAAACGGAGGCCTCTCTGGCAGACACTGCTCTCATTTTTCTGGCCAGTGGTTACATTGGCAATTTGCTTGTTTCCTGTATATCCCCATCGGTGCAAGCTACTAATACTCTACTCATGTCTCGGTGTCCTCCTACTTTTTCTTTCTCTACTAGTTTGTAAGTTCTCAACTTCTGGTTATTTGTTTCTAGCATTTCTTTACATTTGCTTAACTCTTATTGGTTTATGGTGATGTGGATACAAGAGTGGAAGATTAGGTTCATACCCTTCTCCCCTATTTAAAATGTCACTATTTTATTACACTTATTGGTGTGCTGGACATAGCAACAATTCTGCAGATTAGTCATGTAGTGGACATCAATATGCATTGCAATTGATATTTGTTGGATAATGCTTCACTTATTTTCAGACGTCAGGCTTTATTAGAGTCAGTGACATGCTTGTACATGCGTATATGTTTAATTCAATACCTAGATTTAGTTAGGTTATATACTTTCTGGCTTAGTACTATTATATCAACGCCATCCGTTCCTTATTTTTGTGAGAAATGACTACGCATCATTTGAAGTGTGTGCCTTTCCACCAAGGTATATTTTAGGTAGTAGATTGTCCTAGGTCGGCAATATCAATGGGGCACATGGAAAGCACTGTTGGTTTGATGACATGACCAGAGACAGAGCAAGTTATTTAAAGGCCCGCCTATTAGCCCAAGTCCCGCAGAGTGCATTAAGATGAGATATTCACCCAAAAAAAAACAAAAAAAAAAAAATCCTAAATAGGACATGCCACCTTTGCATTAAGCACTATGCTGCTTGTTGTCCTTATCAGCTCTTGTTAAGTGTCCTTTGCCTATTATGTGGATTGCATTATTGTACGAGTGACTATCTTCTATCTTTGACCAGCATATGTGAAAGAAAGTCGATGCTACTTTTCAACGATGGCGGAAACTTGTTGGTTGTCGACAAGTTGCAGAGTTACCAGTTTTTTTTTTTTTTTTGTTAACTAGTTACTAGTTTTTTTGTAAAGCTTTTAGGATTCCTCGACACATTTTTGCCATTTTCACCGTTGCTAAATATTTGTGACTAATTCTTCTTAGAAAAAAATATTTGTGACTAATTTGCTTATGCCTTTTGCCTCTCTTAATGTCTTATTAACTCTTCTTCTTCAAGAATTCTGCATCTTACAATTCTTAATACAAAAGCCATCACACTTAACATTTCATGTAAATCAACAGGTTCTTTTGTTTGTTTTTAATCGCTAAAGTCAGTCTCACTATACCTATCATATGGAATTGGGATAGGGTGGGGATATATAGGTTCCAGGTTTATACTAGGTCTATATGTAGTTTTCTGTAAAAATATACATACGATCGTAGCTATAAGGTTGTATCACAGCTGCCACCTTCACAGTTTTTATTATCAGGATTTTCCATCATCTTGGCCTAAAGGTCATTAAATATATGTTTGAATAGGGTATCATTTTTCAAGTATTCATTATATTTGCATCAAGAAACCTAAATTTGTATCTAGATTTGTTTATTTGACTACAAGCTTCAGCTTAGCTATGTCTGTGATCTGTTAATTTCTCGATTTTGCATTAAAGAGTGTTAATAATGCAAATGATCGTTCCAGTAATGATTTGTTCCCTGTAATATCGAACATGAACATTTAATTTTGTTTTGTGATTTCTTAACTTCCAGTGAGAGGTACAATATTTGGAGTGCTATATATTGTTCTGGGAAAGCGAGTTTGGTTTTTCCCGAACATTCTCGCCGAGGAAGCTACTTTGAGAGAACTATTCCGTTTCTGGCCCAAGAAGGATGAAGAGGAGCGACCAAAGTGGACAACAAGGGTTTTCTATGCAGCAGTTGCAGTTCTGGTCATATTGCTGCTGAGGCACCATGCTCCTGATGAAGCTGCTAGAGCCAGGTGAGTTCTAAACCTACCAAATATACCGTAATGGCACTTGAGAGCATGAGTATGATCCTTGCTATGTACTGAGTTTCAAGTCGCATTGTTCTGTGGACGACGACAAATTGTGGCTAAACATGACAAAATTTTAAAAGTTTCAGATCCACAATAATTTGAAGACCTGTTTCTTTTATATTTAATCTTTTGTTAGGGCCCGTTAATATGCAATCATAGAGCATACTGCTCTGCCTGCTAATGTGCTGAATCGGTTTTCTGCTTCTTGGTGTTGCCAATCATACTAATGATTGACTCCATATTGTTGCAGGTACCAGAAACGTGTATCAAACATTATCGACGATGTTCTGGAGTGGTCTCCAAGATTGGCGCTTTCTGGGATGATGGAGAATATGCAAACTGTGGTTAACTCGACGGAGCCAAGTAATGCAACTGAGGAAGAGGTGACGCCGCCTGACGCCATGGATGCAGAAACTTTCACGGTGCAGTACGATGCAGAAGTTAGTGAAAATCTAGAGAACAGCGACGAAAACCTAGACAGTAGAGAAGAAAACCTAGACGAGTGATGAACAGAAACATGATGACATATAATGTATGCGATACCGGAAAGAAGACATCGCCTTCTCTTTGGCCTTTACCTTTAAATTTGAGTGTAAAACCATGTATCAGACAATAAAGCAGGTAGTTACATTTTTTTTGTGGGATTTATAAAGGTGTTTTGTAAGGTTTGGTAGTTGGTTCCTACATGACTACTTGGATCGTAATTATCGGCTGATTAACTCGTGCAATACACATTTGCTGCCCAGTATCAAAGAAAAATATAGGCTCTTCACGTTGTCAGAATATTATTTATAACACGACCGTTTCGCTTTTAGTTTTTATTTTTTCCTTTTTTGTGCTACAAATAGACAGATGCATTGAGCAAAAGGAAGCGTAAAGAAGTAATGGAAGAGGGAAAACTACAAGAGATTAAGGGCTTGTTTAACAAATGCTTTTAAACGACTGAAAGCGTTTTTAGAGAGAATATTTTGAGTTTCAAAAGCACTTCAAATGCTTTCTTCAAAAAACACTAGTTATTTGCTTCTTCCAAAAAGCGCTTCCATGATTAACGTTTTTACTAATGATTGGCTTCTAGAATGCAGAAACACAAAAACAAATGAAATTCCAAGCACAGCTCAAAATGAAGGTGACAAACATAATACACAAGATGGTTAAACACGAGTCCAACTTGGTTAAATTTCCGTCTCTCATATGTACCTCGAATTACAGAAAACTACTCTGTACATCAGGCAAAAATAGGAAAGGAAAAAATCAAGAGTCGAAAGGGCTTCGCAGGCGCCAAATGACCCTTCATCATCACTCCTTCCCTACATCTATGCCTCAAGCGCAAGAACACAGCCAAGAATGAATTGCCGCCTGGCAAACGCATTGCCAAAGGGATCCAGGGGGACTCGTACCTTTTCGGGTAGAATCCACAGCAATCTGCCTCCAGAGGTTCACTGAATGGCAAGACGCCTCTGTGAGGCCTGGTTCGAAGATATGTTGCCCTGTTGCTGGCCTTTCCAATCTCCTCCTTCCCCTCTCTTGCCCGAGTATGAAGGATACATTGAAGCCTGCAGACCACCATGGGGCTGGTAGCAGCCACTACCATTTGCATAATTGTGAGCTGCATACGCATCGTGCACTTGGGAACCTCTTGCTTCCCGTTGACTATTGGGGGAATTCCATGTTTCAGCAGAATCCGAGGGAAAGGGTTCTGAGCCCGATGAACTGCCGGATTGTGATGAGTGCGCTGGACCAGAGCCTCTGCCCTTTTCTTGTCTAGTGCTGTTTGAATTATCACCATTAGTTTTCTTTGCAAAACGTCCTCCAGTACCTCTCGCCCTTCTCATAGCATGTTGATGTCGTGATTCATGAAGATATGGCTGTAGAAAATGAGAATTAACAATCCAATTACAAAAGTTAGCTAGGCTTGCTGGATATTCATATTTCAAAGAAACAAACGCGAACAATTTGAGTTGGAAATCATTAACTGAAATAAAAATTTCATCATACCACCACAATTTATATACCACTAATCACCCCTGAAAAACAAAATCTACAACTGTTTATCGTCAGTCTCTTACAACCATCAGCATACAGTTGAAACATTTTAACCTCACACTAATCAAATTAGACAAGTCTACAGACTTTTACAGGACTGTTACCAAATATAGTTTATACAGTCGTTGAAAGCTCCATAGTAACTACAGGTTCTTCACATGTCAAATCACAAATGTATATACTAAGCAAGCACATGCTTCCATTAGCAGAATGCAGGTGACAATGCATCCCTCTATGCATACTTCATTGGGTATTGCATAGCCATGTCCTGGTATGTAAGTATGTGTGTGTATATAACTATATATATAATGGAGGCTTTAGTTATATACACATAAGTGAGCACATCGCCATAATGACTCCAACTTTTTAAGCACTCAAGACAATTTTCAAAGCTCTTTTCACACAACCATAAAACTTCGAGTTGTGATATGTCAAAACTTAATATATATGATCACCAGAGGACTCAATAAATGTCTTACCAACAGTGAGGGACTCAATAAATGTCTTACCAACAGTGAGGTACACGGTTCAAACAGGCACACGAAACAAAAATATAACGCATCTATATGAAATAAAACATATTGATTATAATACAAACGCTTGCGTGCACTTTCTACCTTCCTGACTTTTATTAGCTTCCTTTCTAGTTCTGCTTTTGCACGTGCCTGTCTTCGCCTTAGAATCCCTTGGTATTGTTTTGCATTTACATACACAGGCTCCTGTGCCATCTCAAGAGGCAATGGCATTCTAGCATGTGGCATTCCAAAAAAAGGGGGATAGCCCTGAGCATTTGAAACAAGAATAACAGTCTCTCACATTTATATATCAAAACATTTACTACTGCACAACTTCCAAATGCACAAAAACTAAATTCATATCATGCCCAAGAAACATAACTTGAATGGGTTAAATATTATAACTAATCTGCTTTTTAACCACCACCACATGATGCAAGACAACACAAGGTGGCCTACTACCCAGGATTGTGGTAGGGTTTTGATGGTGGAAAATTAATCAAGTCAAGGAAAAAAGAAAAGATTTAGGACTGTTGTAAATTTAGATAAAATAGAGAGAGAATAACATGGACAAGAGAAAATGTACAAACAGATATCAAGGCATCAAGCCTTTCAACAACACTATTGTGTATCCAAACGAATTTGCTTTACAGATAGAATAACATGGACGAGATGGACAAGATAAAATGCATGAGAAGATATCCAGGCACCAAGCCTTTCAACAACACGATTGTGTATCCAAAACAGATTTGGTTTACAGAAGCTTTCTATAGTCTTCACATTGAACTCCCATAGACTTGTAGCATACCAAGTCTGATTACATGGCAGTAGGAGACTAAGAAAATTAAGACATCCACTACTTCTAGGATCCAAAATACATTTTCATCTATCCATGATCCACTTTGCTCGAATTTGCTTTTTAGAATATAGCCTTCTTATATTGTCTTAACATAGAACTACCAGACTAGTAGAAATACAAAGACTGACTCAATGGTAGGAGACTGATGTATGACAATAGTAAGGGAATCCAGACTCACTCCGGCCTTTGGCATCACACCAAAGGTGTATTGAAATCACTCCAATAAAGAAATTAGAAAAATTCCGGCATCACACCAAAGGTGCCTTGGAATACTCCAAGGTGGTTGTGCCTCACACACAAGCAGAGAAATCCATAATTTATTTCTTCACTAATAATCTGATTTCAAAAGCTTACATTTATAGGTTAATTGGTACATGAATCTGGAAAGATCCGCATTATATGCTTCGGAATTCTAAAGACTAATTTACGGTACCGAATACATTAAAGAGAAATGTTAAAGAGTCTCTCTCAAAGTGGGACTCTCCATGGACGCTATGCCACCTCACAGTTTAACGTTAATTCCCGTGCCAACATTATAAAACCTTGTGCCATTTCTCATGAGGTGGCAGAGGGAGTCCCACCTTTAAGAGTCTCCTTAGCATTTTACTACATTAAAAATGTAACATAGAGAGACTCAAGACAATTAACTTGCAGACTACATGCATAAATTGCAGTTATTATATAAGAAACTAAAGTTTGAACTTGGCTCCTGCATCATTTTCCCTTGGTTGCAGAAAACTCGACCTCGAGTTTGACACGTTAAGTTGGTTGCCAAGTTGCTATCCTTGCCAAATATACAGGATCTCCAACCATGCAAGGACATAGTTGATGTAGGACAATAGGAAGGGATAGAGAAATAGAAGAGATCAGGACTCACTCAGGCCTTTGGCATCACACCAAAGGGGTATTGGGATCACTCCAATAGAGAAATTGAGATACTAACAATCAATATTCCTGAAGTCCAATATAAACTGATTCTCAATAACAGTCAACATGAACTTATATTGATTCTCAATAACAGTCAACATGAACTCTTAGATTTACATTTTGTTACTCATTTATTTTATAATTTCACTGATTCTAACATTACGATAGGTATTTCTGTTTCAAAAGAATGTTGTATTGTCAAGATAAGACTTGCGATTTACTCCCCATAGACTCGATATATAGATCATTTCACTATGTCCATTGCTCTTCCCCACCCAATACTTACTGAAATTCGATAATTTGAGAGCATTCAACTCCTAGCACACCCATTATCGGATGTCCCCAGGAGTGGACAATCGACAACTCCAACTATTTCAAAGGATGCACATAGGCCACAACAAGAATACTTACAATTATATGATATAATGCATCTTCAAACTTCTCATTTGCCATGGCAACAATACATACGGAGAAAGACATTAAGAAGAATACAATTATGAAAAATATGAAGGAAAAAAAAAGACCAAAACATGAAATCTGACAGTTGTAGTAAACTAGTCAGACCAGGAAAAAATTAATAACATAAACTCAAAAAAAAAAAAAAAAAAAAAAAATCTAAGAGAAAGAAGCTGTCACTAAATGCTTATTTCTTGCTAGAATTATAATAGAGATCATATTATCACATTCAAACCCTGTAAATCCATACATCATGAGAAGACCATACCAAAACTCAAATTTCAACTACTAACAACAGAATGAAGCAATTTCAAAGGAAAAATTATCCTTTCCTCATCTACCAATTCAGACCAAATAATTTCCTCATCCAAAAGGTTGACTGGGTAGGAATGTTGTTAACCTCAGTTCCAAGTCCTGACAACTACCCATTCCACTTTCACATCCATCAGATGTACGATATAACAAAAATATTCTTTTTAGGTAAGTAACAATGACCGGAATTAAATCCTTCTACAACAACCAGCCGCACATCATTCATTCCCAAATGTTGTAAAGAAGACTAACACATATATACATGTAGAAATACAAACTGTTAGAGTCAGTGAGGTAAGTATAACATCTTCAGAAACTGAAGTTACTGAACAATTACATAGTTGCACAAAAAATAAACACACAAATCCAACATGATTTAAGATGGTATTGCACAAAAGGATATTACTGTTTAACATACCAAAGGTTGATGTCCACAAGCTGCCATCATTCCACCATAATAAGGATCCTGGTAAGGATTTGAAGCACAAGCCTGCAAAACAAATGCACTAAAGCTAGGACTCATACATTCCAAAATCATGCAAGTACGAGTACCTGAACTTCAACATTACAGAATTCAATATTTGATGACTACCAGTAGAGCTGGAATCTTAAAAAAATGTAAAATGAACTTACAATCGAGTGACCCACAAGTTCAAGCTGTGGTGGTTGCG